GTATACACAAACATGTGCTCCCCAGGTACTTTTAAAACTTTATCCTTGAGGATCTATTAATAATAGAAATAATTAAATAAATCAGCATTCTTTATAACTCAAGTAGTCTAAATCATTAATTAGGCAGAATAGGATATAAAATGAAATGTAGCTATCACTATATTCCTTATGTCTAAAATTGAGGTCTGTCCACTGTAAATTATTTACAGAGTTTGGGTATGTTAAGTATTTACCACAAATGTCATTTACTAAAATGGGAGAAGATACTGATAATGATACAACCACACACACTAAAAAGCGTAATTTGAGTCTCAGTTGACTAAAGGGGGATTTCACTTTGAAGGCATTAAGGCAGACATGGAGGAATTGTTTTTGAGGAAAATATTCTTTTGAGTTTGGCATACTGAGTGCTCTCCCATAAAACTTTCTATAATGATAGAAATGTTCTATATCTGCACTGTTCAGTTTAGTAGCTACTAACCACATGTGGCTATTAAATGAAATGTGGCTAGTATACCAAGGATCTGCATTTTTACTTAATTTTAAGTGGCTATGGCTACCATATTGGACAAAGCAACACTAGAGATTTTATGACTGAGTGGTTAGGATAATGTGGTAGCAGTACAGTGAACACTTTGAAAGGTAGATGTTTATACAATCTCTCATAGAATTTTTTTCTTCTTTTCTTTTTTCCTATTTGAACTTGTTTTGTTAGTTGGTAAGTATAACATTTGACTTTACAAAGCATTGTCTGTTGTGAAACATCATCACCCTAACTCATTGCATGCTGAATTATATTTCATGATAAAAACCTGATTACTTTCTTCTCTGCTCCTCAGTTAACACCTGTAAAATTCTGCACTGTGTCTCTCATATCTGTTATCTATCTTCTCTTTTGTTTTCTCACTTCTGCTTGCTACTCCATTTCTTCATTCACAACAAAGAAAGAAATGCAGTCATAGTTCTCTTCCTCCCAAAACCTCCGCTAGAAAACATTGGCCATCTCAAGGTAAACAGCCATGGGAAAGCCTCACATGATGGCCGGGAATAATATGCATTACCAGAAAAGCATGAGCAATTGCTCTTCACCTTCATTCTGCCATCCATCTGCAGTGCTTCCCTAAAAGGGGCCATGGATTCATATTCGCCTCTAGATTTTCCAGTATCTGTCCACTATGAACCAATTCAGATCTTCAGGAAGAGTAAAGGTGAACAGTAATATATTTCCTTCCCCTTAAGTTTTGAAGGCCAATCTCATTTTCCATTAGAAAAGAAAGAATGATGGAGAAGTTACTTTAAGAAGGAGGACAGTTGACCTGGATTATGAGTGACAGTATTTCCCTTGGCAATGTATATTTGTTCTTAAGTATAATATTAAAAACACTTGAAATATCTACAGACACATTCTTAATTAAGACATTTGAATAGGATCTGTACCCCCTATTGAACTTCTTTCTCCTTAGAAATATTCGTAAGTTCTAAGTTCTCTAAGGAGAACTTCTTTCTCCTTAGAAATATTCATAACTTCAATTTGAGCGAAAATCTTTTCTTACATGGAAGTGCTAGCATACTTATTTGAAGTGTCAGAAGGCTCCATAAATAAGGAGATTTATAAATTTAAGCCTGAAACCTATGTACTGTTTTTGTTTGTTTGTGATACACAAAGAAAATTTTCATGTACTTAAGACCCAGAAAATCTGGATTAAAGCACCTTAGAATATACAGAAATTTTGTTATTCTGTTGTTTGCCAATTTTTTTGTTTTTTTATGAAGGGCTTTTATTTTTAATGTAATGTCTTATTTGTTCAGAAAATATTCAAGAGCCCATAATATGCAAGGTTCTGAAGTATCGGTGTACATTAGAGAATCATAATTCATAAAGTACAGAGGTAAAAAACTACTTTGTAAATGACACACAGAATTTTCCCATTTGGTTTTCTTTTGCTTTTAAAATTTTATATCTACTAATTCTACTGGTTACCTACTTTCTATGACTGAATAGTGTAACTGCAAAGGTGTAAGTTAATGAAAACAAAAGCATTGTTTATCTCTCGTAAATTAAGACAGTTTGCGGAGTCAGTCTGCCTTTTTTGACTGACTTTCAGATAAGAATTCTTGTCCTTCCCCATGTCCTAGGAATTTATCTTACTCTTTTTTAAAACCATATTTAAATACCTAGCATGTATAATGGTCTCATCTCATAGTGCTGAGTTCCTTTTTGGAATTTTTGGTTCTAAAACTCGTGCTATTTTTCAAGTTTAAGTAATGAAGGCCCTTTTCATGGTTATACCGTGAGTCCTAGAGATAGGAATTGGTACTTCTCACCTGCTTCTAGAGCCCTTCCCTGCATGCTATTGGTGCTTTGCATCCCTGTTCTTTCCCAGAGATTTTCCTTCCCACTGCTTCTTCCAGGGTTCTGGGTCTGGGGATGATGATTGGCACTTTTTTGCTAGTATGATGACATGAGCCACCAGATCCCTGAGTTTTAAATACATTTAGTAGGCTGTTGTAACAAGCAAGTTTGGGGCTTTGCTTTTTCCCCTCAAACGATCTCATTAAGAGAGATGGGATCCTTGCTACAGATTAGTAGCAGAAAGGTTATTTCTTAGGGGTGAGAGGCTGGATGACTGTAGTAATTCTCTTGCTGTTTCCTACAGGCTCCTACCCAGAGATTCTACCCAGTGAAACTCCCACAGCAACGCAGGTAGATGGGGCTGACCTGGCCTCTCCAATGTCTCCTCGAACTAGCAAAAGCCGCATGTCCATGAAGCTGCGTCGTTCCTCTGGCTCAGCCAATAAATCCTAAGGAGACAAGCAGCCCAACAACAGTGATCAGCAGTAGCCACCTTAGCACAGATCATAGGGTTAACCCTTTCAGGCCTTCATGTCTGCCATAACATGCATGTTTCTTCTTGTACATTTGAGAAAACACTGGATTTAAATAATTTGTAGCTTAATATTTTAGATTTGGGTTATTTATTCAATTTGTTTTTATCCCCACACTCCAAACTGCCATGTTTTGATGGGGTAGAGTTTTATTGTACACCCTTTACCTTCCTAGATAATTATGTCTAAGTAGTTTTACCTTTAATTTCATGATTAACTAGCCAAAAGATAATTGGACAAATATTCTCATTATTTTATTTATTGTGCCTAATTGCAACTTTATGGCTCAATAAATATATATAATTTTTTTACAAACATAAAATTTTAAATTTAAGCATTTGTAAAGTTATAGCAAAAGTTGCAAATCTGTTGATACACAGGATGTGTACAGACTATTTATGTTATGAAAATAAAACACTCAAATGGTCTTTTAGCATCTCAAATTCCAACTGAAATAATTTTAGCATTAACTTTTTCTTCCCAAAGCAATGTCTCATATCTTAGCTGTGCAGGTGATGCCATGGTATATCCAATAACTAGAAAAATCACTGTGCTAAACTTTAATTTATGTTTAGCTTCCATATATTTTTCTAATATTTTGTTTTTTAAGTGGTATCACTGTTAAATGCCATTTCTGTTTTGAGATTGTGGCCCTTTATTATTGGCTGCTAGATCCTGATGTATCTGTATTCTTTCTTGAGTACCAAAAAGAAGGGAGGAAAAAAGAAGGAAAAAACTTTTCTGATATAAATATGTTGCTCAAATTATGTATATTATTGAAAAAGAAAAGGAAACATGACCCAGGAGTCTTATGTTAAATCTAATATTGTTAAATACTGAACTTGCAGATGCAGGTTGGTATACATTCCACACTCCAGAAATATTTTCCTACAGTAGATAAGCTACTCACATTTTGTTTTGAATGGGCATCTCCTAAGGAAATGTAGCATGACGTCGGTACTAACTGCATGTGTAAATACATCATATTGGCAAACCATAAAATATAAATTATGTATCATCATTCACATAGCATCTACAAATTTGTAACAGTGGAGAAAAAAAAGATGACATGGTATTTAATAATACAATAAAAATATTCTTATCACTTCCTGTTCATGAGTGTTGATTTGTCCTCTATAGTTCATATTTTCAGACTCAATAAGCAGGGCTGTATGATTAATGGGGAGATGTAAAGCATGAACCTAGGTTATCTTAGCTAATCATGAAAAATGAATTTGAATTCCTTTTTCAGGGTACACTCCAACTTATTTCTCAAAGCTCCTACCACAGTCATTAGAAACACTGGAAATTTTATACCTTCATAAAGGCTGGCCAGAAACTTCACTCAGTCACTTGGTTAAACTATCAATTTATCTCAGCTTCATGGTTCTTTGATTTCTTAAATTTCACTTTGTTTTATGATATACTTGCAGGAATAATACTTTCTACCGACAGGTTTTTCTAAAACAACCTTTCAGAGCTTCTATGATTCAATTCTTTGTTTTCTTATAAATAAAAACTAAAATTTCTATGAAAGCTTATGGAGAAGATAAGCAAATGGATAGAGAGTCCCTAGGAACAAGATTAAACAATATAGACAGTTTCCCACAGTGAAGGTGAAGAATTACAAAAAGGAAAATCAAAGCAACTGCTTACATGTTTCTAAACTGCTTTCGTTTTTTTAAATAACTATCTAATGAATATGTAACAAAATGAAGTGAAAATACCAACCCCAAATAGTGAAATTAGCACCATTGATATAATTTTTTCATCTTCAAATAAAATTATTCTGTAGCTTTTAAAAAAGAAAATATTTAAAATACATCCTGTTGACATTTGTTGAGGGGAAGTGTCATTTTAGATTTAAAGAATGGTACATATTCGTTGCTTGTTGGAGCTCAGTCAGTGCAGCCATACTTCAAAGGAAAAATTTCCATTCCATTTCTGTACCATTATATTCATTTGCAAAATATAATATCTCCTGTCTTTGTGTTCTGTCTAAATGGGTCACAGATTCTAAAATAGGATGCTGACATTGGGGAGATAAGAAATGTGGCTTTGAAAATAGGCTGTGTTCAACAGGATTCTTAAGACAAACACAGAACACAACAAAGCACAGTCTATGTACATTTATTTGGTGGTAAGCATCTTACAAATATGGGCTGTCAAGCAGTGCTCAGCCAGTGTCCCGACTCTAGCTTTTAGGGCATGGGTACAGAATGTACACTGAAATGGTTTACAAAAAGGTCAAAAACAAGTTGCTGCTGAAAAGAAAATACTGAATATTGAATGAATTGCTATTCATTTCCTTAGTGGATTATAGGTATTAACATATTCCTTAAGCTGAGCATAGTTGTATATATAACACACAGTATGAGATTTACAGCAGAATCATTAAAACAATTTGGGTGAAACCCCATTAAAACAGTCAAACTTCAGGAAACAATTTCTATATTTCCAAAGGGCTATTTAAAGAAAGGTTTAAAGTAGTTCTTCCTGAATACTGCACACAAAATATCTAAAGATGAGAATTTGGGGGGCTAGGGGTGTCTCTACTCTTTCTAGTAAAGCAGCACCCTCCCCGCCTCCAAACACTAACTTAAGAATGGACTAGTACATATAATTGGGGAAAGAAAAGGTTACAGTGTTAAACGCCCTCCCAAAAGCAGCAAACATTCTCTTGTATTTCCTGCCCACAGACACAGGTCTTGAATCTTTCCCCCACCCCCTTAAGTTTGGCACCAATCACATAACTTTTAATTCACAGAATATACAATACAAGATATCTGACCCTATTTGAGACAGAAACCACATAGGCGCCTGTGATGGCAAGAGAAAAAAAAAATTGGTTACTACCACTTTGGGTAGCCAGAACCCTTTGTAGACATTGAGACATGTACGCATTCACTGCGACTTTCCATAGGAATTACAAATCTCATAGGATTCGTTAGGGTCTCCAGAGTTTTGAGGCAAAAAAAAAAAAAAAAAAAATCCTATTTTAGTGGGGAAAGTAAGAAGGATTTAAAGCTGACAGTCTGCGAGGGTTTATACCATATACATACCTGCTCTAGAGAGGGATTTTACATTTCACTGTCCGCTCCTCTGGCGGAACATAGACTACTGGGAGAATTTTAGGAGACGAAACAAAGGAAAGAAAGTAAACTTGCAAGTTGAAGAAAGCCCCACAGAAATTCCCATGATCTGTTTGCTCCAAGGCCAACCTTGAAATCTTCCTGGTCTCTTGGCCCTCAGCAGCCGGGCCTCAGTGGCATTTGCAGCAACAATACCTGCCGACTTTCTGAGGGATGGTACTTATTGATGTGCCGGGTGAGCCCCGGGGAGCTAAAAAAAGTGGACGGGCAGTGCTTGCAAGAGAAAATTTGCTGAGCACTCCCGTCAGATGCCCCGCCTGGGCCGGGTGTTTCGGAAGGAGCCCCTGCCAGAGCAGGCAGAAGCAGCTCCTCGCGGACAGCATGCCACAGCCGGTGTTTCTCCCTGATATCTGCGGACGGGAAGTGCGCCCCACACAACGGGCAAGCGAAGGCAAGTGGGGCGCCGCGTTCGGAGCCAAAACCCGGGGCTAGTGTACGGGCCGAGCCTGCCTCATGAGTGCCCAAGTGCTTACGCAGATAGGCTTGGCGACGGAACTTTTTGTGGCAATATGGACACACGAAGATCTCGGGTCCCCCGCCACCACTGGTACTGCCTGGCACAGGCACCCGGCGCCCAAACACCCCCTCCGTATACGGACCCTGGGGCAGTGGGCGCTCTGGGTGCATGAGCACCTGAAGGCCCTGGTGCGGGGCGCTGTCCTGGTGCTGATCTGCCCCGGAGCTGTCCCTGGCTTGCGGGTGCTGATCTGCAGTTCGCTCTATCCGGCTGTTCTCCTTCTCCGCCAGAAAAGACGCAATGGCACCGGATTCCGGGGAGCACGAAGACGATGACGGAGGCGGCTTCCCGTCGGTGGAGGAGACTGTGGCAGCGTTTGCAGCTGCGGGACGCGGCTTGTGCCAGCGGCGATGAGAGGCAAGGTTCGCAGGACAGCTGAAGACCTTGTCGCACTCAGGGCAGCGGTACTCGACGCGCACGATGCGGGAGCATCGATGCTGGGCCAGTGCAAAGGGGTCTGCGTACTGTTCCTTGCACAGCTGGCAGATGAACTCTCCCAGCGGCGTGCGGCTGCCCCCCAAGCCCCGGGACGGCGCCCCGGGCTCCTCCTCCTTGATCTTCAGGCCCAGAACAGGGGACGTGGTCACCTCATCAGCAAAGCTCAACTTCCTCATAGCCTTTGGCTTCTTGATTCCCGCGGCCGCAGTTCCCGAAGTGCAGCCGGGAGGTATCTTGGCGCGGCGCTCACCACCGGGGGCCCGCTTCAGGCCGTGCAGGGTGGCCGAGAGGGGCGCGGGGTCCGGCTGGAGCGCGGGCTCTGGGAACGGTGCCCGGAGCGGCAGCAGGAACTGCTCCCCTGAGGTCGGTGCTGCTGCTGGCGCCACCGAGCAGGAGAAAGCGGCCACCGCGGCGGCACCCCCAGGAAAGGACTCGGCAGAGACGGGCGAGCTGAGGCAGCGCTCCAGGAACGCCCGACGCAGCTCCGTGCCCACTGGCTTCGTGGGACTGGGGCTGGGCCCGGACCCGGGCCCAGGACCCTCTCTGCCATCCGCCCTCCTCTCTGCACCTTCCCGCCCGCCAGCCCCTGGGCTCACCCCGGCCACCCGACAGGGCGACCCCGACAGTTCCCGGGCCGCCTCAGCCGTCAGCCCCTTTCCGGGCTCCTCCTGGGTGGGGGGCTCCACATCTGGCAAGGAGGGGGCAGGAGCCTCCTCCAGGAAGGGCGGCGCCACCTGGGGCCCCAGCAGAGGGAAGACCCGCTCGGCTAGGCGCACTCGGTACGAGCCGCCTGTCCGTTTAGTTCGCTTCACCAGGAAGCCCCTTGGCATGGTCTAGTCTGGAGCGCTCGGGTGCAAGAGAAACCGCGGGGCCCCGGGGCCGAGAGCGGGCAAGCACAGTCACTGCCCCAGCCTCGCCGCAGCGGTCATGCCGGGGCTGTCTTTATAGCTGAGACGCGGCCCAGGGCCCCGCCGCCCGCCTCCGGGCCGGCCCAGCCAATCAGGAGTGGGAGCGGGCGCCGGGGGCGTGGTTTTCTGCTGGCGGGGCTCTCGGGAATAGACGAACCTGGTGGCGGCGCGAGCCTCGGCCCCGCCTCAGAGCGCCCCCGAGGGGCCCTCGTGCTCTGCCGGGGCCACCGCCCCCTGTCGCCCCGAGACGAAGGCGCAGCAAGGTAAGTGCGCAGTGTGAGGGAGCTCGGCACTCCCCGCCGCCTCCAGGGACCGTCCCACTGGGGAGCTGGGCAGAAAGGCCACCTCAAGACACCCGCCGCGGGCTGGGGCTCGGCTGCCCCCACGCTGAGCGCCTGACTGGAAAGCTCCCGCCCTGCAGAGGACGGGCGAGGGGCAGGGGATGAGAGGGCGGGGGCCGCGGCGCAGGGATCCGTGAGGAAACGGCTTAACGTCCCCAGCCTGCACTGAGCTGATGAGAAGCTGCGACTGAGCGGCAGGGCGGCTAAATCCACCGCCCTGTGCCTACACTTGACGGTGGGAGCACGTCTGCCATCCAGTATCGATCGAGACAGCGCGCGTCTGTGACACTATGAGAATTCATCTGGGAAGAAGGGCTCTCAGGGCGGGAGAGCGTGCGTGCCGGCCAGCCTCCGGAGCTCAGGGCGCCCGCCCGTTCCTGGCCCGGTCCTCCCGGCTTTAAGTGCCCCCTCCCCATGGGAATAGGAGTGGGGAAAGGAAGTAGGATCTAATTTTCGACTATCCTCACATAAAGTGGTTTCTCTGTTCACACTTTCCACTTGTACCACCTAGAGACATGACTTAATGCCTAACTGACCTGTTTAGCATGGAGTAAGTAGATCGAGTGAGAAATGCTGGTGGAATCAGCACTACATCTGCTTCCCCGTGGATGAGCAAGTGATACTTTGCAAAAGGTGTACCAACTCAGCAGATTTTCATCCCGCACGCTGCAACGTGCCCAGCACTGTTTTAAGAATGAGACAAGATTTGAAAGTTTTTAATAATAGCTGAACTGTGAAATAATTAGGCAGTGTATGACAGATGTAAAGTGCCAAAAGCCATAATATAGATATATACAATGTGAAAACAGAAAGGGGGAAACTATGTGTTCAAGTCTCCTTACCAAACCAAATTGTAGAAAAGGACTGAGGGAGGTGTTTTAAAAGTAGACTAAAATATAACAGATCTAGACATCAGTAAAACATTGCCTTCCTTCTAGCAAATGAAGTATTTTTGCAAGGAGAACATTATTTGGGAGAAGATTTGGAAGTATTTATGTATTAATCATTGGTTCTGTTTTAGGCATTCTGCTTAAGTAATCTCTGATCTTCACACACACACCAGGAAGGAGGTATTATCACTTTCTTTTCTTGGTGAGGGGGTTAAGCCATAGAGAAGTTAGATAACTGGCAAAAGTCACGCAGAGCCCAGATTCAAATGCTGTCTGGCTAATCCCAAAACCCATACTTTCCACTACTACACCAATGGCTTCAAACTATTTTTTCCTTAATTACATCCCACAATAATAAATACATTTTAAAGTGCACATATATAACAAATAATAGTTTCACAAAATAATATTTCCCTTAAATAGGTGCAGTGCATTCTCATTTTCTATTTAATTCTATTGTATTTTGTTTTTGTAAATACTGGTCATAGTGAACAAATTGATTTCATAACTCACTAATGGATTAGGACTCACAGTTTGAAAAACACTCTCATTATATTTTTTCCCATTAAATAGCATGAAATCATACAAAATCAAATAAACCTATACTGTATAATCAAAATTAATATTCTGAATCACTATTTAAAATATCCAAGTCCACTTCCCTTTCACAGCCATCACCAAAGCAATGGCAGCCAAAATGAAGTTCAATCCCTTTGTGACTTTGGACCAAAGCAGGAACCGGAAAAGGCATTTCAATGCACCCTCCCACATTCGCAGGAAGATTATGTCTTCCCCTCTTTCCAAAGAGCTGAGACACAAATACAATGTTCAATCCATGCCCATCTGAAAGGATGATGAAGTTCAGGTTGTTCCGGGACACTATAAGGGTCCCAGAACAAATTAGCAAAGTAGTCCAGGTTTACAGGAAGAAATGTGTCATCTACATTGAACGGGACCAGCGGGAAAAGGCCAATGGCACAAATGTGCATGTGGGCATTCACCCCAGCAAGGTGGTTATTACTAGGCTTAAACTGGACAAAGACCGCAAAAAGATCCTTGAATGGAAAGCAAAATTTCGCCAAGTAGGAAAGGAAAGGGGCAAGTACAAGGAAGAAACAATTGAGAAGACACAGGAATAAAATAATCTTATGTACAACTTTCATTAAAAACTGCTAAAAGGAAAAAAATAAAAATACCTGAGTCTTTGAATAGTGTTGGTAAACTTAGTTTCCCAAATTGATCATTTAAGACATGTCAGCTTATGTCTGACTTCTAACTCAAATTCTCAATTCTCCTTCCCTTTTTCCTCATAACCCAGACATATTGTATGGTGTGCACAATCTGATGTAAGAATTTTAATACTTTAAGAAAGCCTCTTTTCCAGAGGGCCTTTTCCCCAGGGGCATAGTACTTTGTAAGGATTGCTGTCAAATATTTTCTACCAGATCAAATAGCTCTCCCTTTCCCTTCCCCCCAAGTGTAATTTGATAATAACCTTTCTAGAAATTGGTACAACAATGTACATCAGGAACTTTTTAAAAAATGTATATACACTTAATCCACCAATTCTTCCTTTAGTAAATCATCCAAAAGAAGGCCAAAGATTTATGATAAACAGCATAAAGCTGTTTATCACAGTGTTATTTGTAATTGTAAATAATCAGAAACTGCCTTGAGTAAATTATGCTATAGCTATACTACCAATGATTATATAGCCATAAAGACGTAATGATATGGACAAATATGTACACCATAATGTTAAGCAAAAACAGCAAGATGCAAAATTGCCTGTATAATAAAGAGCTCAGTTATGAAAGAACTAAATGTGTAAAACACTGGAAGGAAATATGCCAAAATGTTGTTGCCTCTAAAAAGCAGGAATTTAAATAGTCTTTTGGTGTTTTGCTTTTTTAACGTTTTTGTTAAAATATTCTGAAATAAGCATATAGAAAAAAATAAGCATATAGTACTCTGATAAACAGGGGGGAAACACCATAATGTTCAGCTACTCAGGAGGCTGAGACAGGAAGCTAAGACGGGATGATCACTTGAGCTCAGGAATTCAAGGCTACAGTGAACTATGATCATGCCTCTGTACTCCAGCCTGGGTGACAGAGTGAGACCCCATCTCAAAAAGAAAAAGAAAAAAAAACATAATAAGAAAGCTGCCAGGCCGGACGTGGTGGCTCACGCCTATAATCCTAGCACTCTGGGAGGCCGAGGCAGGAAGATCACTCATGGTCAGGAGTTTGAAACAAGCATGAGCAAGAGTGAGATCCCATCTCTACTATAAATAGAAAGAAATTAATTGGCCAACTAATATATGTAGAAAAAATCAGCCGGGCATGGTGGCACATGCCTGTAGTCCCAGCTACTCAAGAGGCTGAGGCAGAAGGATTGCTTGAGCCCAGGACTTTAAGGTTGCTGTGAGCTAGGCTGACGCCACGGCACTCATTCTAGCCTGGGCAACAAAGTGAGACTGTCTCAAAAAAAATAAAAAATAAAAAAATAAAGCTGCCTTAAATCCTTTCTGATGTTAAATGTGAAACCCTTTCCCTAGGACACTACATCATCAAATGGAAATTATACAGACGAGTAGCATTCTTCAGGGACATCTGTTTGTTTGACATCTGTCCCTGGAAAAGAGGTAATAAGACCTATCATGCTACAGCCTTCTAGTTGAAAAACACTTTTGGGGGGTGACTAAGGGATAAAAGGTAGAAAGAGTTAAAAAGATGAGGAAGAGAAAAAATTTACATGCGTACTTCCCACTTGGGTACAAACCTAAATGATCCTTCAAAATATAAACACTTCTTTCTCTATTCTCTCTCTTAGAAATTGTAATAGGGCAGTGCCTGGCCTGATTATGAAATCTTTGTTTTATCAACATCCTTTCTCTTGACAATGACATTTTCTTCCTTTTAAATACTCAGGATCTTCATCTGTGCTCAGTTATAATTTGATAAAAACTTATACACATTGGATTACTTCTCAAACTATCTACATTTTATGCTTTCTATCTCTAATTGTGGAATAAATGTGATTTAAGTTCAGAAATTTTGAGACAAAAGAAATCAGGACATTTTTTGAAAAGAGGAAATTACTTTTTGCCCTAAAATCACAGTGTGTATAAGACAGGCTGGGATGACTAACCTACTTTTTATCACTTAACTATCCGGAAAATTGCTCAGAAGAAACTTTATTTCTTCTGTTTCTCTGCCCCCTCACCCCCCCACTTAGACATTTCCCTGTAAAAGGTTAATACCAGCTACAGCTACTAGAGACCTATTGTTCACCAAAAGTTGAAAGTCAAACTCTCACAAATCTACAACCAAACTCTTGATTTCCTCTCTTAAATTTAATCCCCATCTCAGTTTTCCTCATCCCAGCAAATGGCACCTTCATTCAATTAGCTGCCTCAGCCAAAACCCAAAGACTTGGCTCAAGCTAAACACCTCATATTCAATCCATTAGCAATTCTTATCAGCTCTATCTTTAAAGCATTTCCTGAATCTGAATACTTCTCAAATTCTCTACCACTGTACTCTGTTTGGTCTCTTGCTTCCACCCTTGCCCCTTATCATATATTCTTTATTCAGCAGCAAGATGGATCCTGTTAGAATATAAATCTGACCGTTTCACTCTTTTGCTCAAAATCTTCAAATCTTCCCTCCACATTCAGAATAAAAATCTAAAGATCCGAATAGTCCCTGGATATTCTTAAACCACATTTCCCACCACTCTCTTCCTTATTCAGTCTGCTCCATCTGTTAATACATTGGTCTCTTTATCTTCCTCAAATATGACAAGCATACTTCCACCTCAAGGCTGTTTCTTCTGCCAGAATGCTCACATCATGTCCTTTAGGATCTCTACTCAAAGAATAACACC